CCAAAAAGTAATCGATTTATGTTTTTCTGACGATTAATTGCACACGATACGGTTATGCCTAACCCTATTAGGCACACCTCTTCTGGGTCACAGGTCAACCGGCCGGGACAATGTTGACACTGCTGTGGAAAACGCCATTGGAATTGTGMAACTTCAGCATAATCAAAAAACAGATTTATGAAAAAACACRTCTTTGATCCTAAAGAAAAGTTYAACRCGAACCGGTTTAGAGCAAATATGTATAACTTTTGTATAACGCGTGATTTACAGGTTGAATTTGTTCAGTTTCAACACCACTTCCATAACGTCCTCAGTATTTATCCTAAAAGACATGTGAGCTTGGCCCGTTTCACAGATTTGTAACAATKTTTTAACTACAGAATTGTCCATTACTGAACACATATTGTTGTTTAAGAAGGTTCATCTTCATAAAAGGCGACTCAAACCATCAATGAGAGATTTAAACTAGTTTCAATGGTTYCACTGCATAGTGAGATACTTAAAATAAGGTATTTTTGGTTTCATGGGATCACAAAAACCACAAAAAAATATGTGTACCACTCACACCAAAATACCAACATGTGGTTTAACCTACACTATCTTTATGCTTCATCCCTTCCTTCCTTCCTTCCTTCCTTCCTGTTCCAGATGGAACTGAACAGAAACAAGCAAAATCTCAAAACAGCTGGAATCAAAATATCACTCTATAAACAATCCTATTGTTCCCAATTCTTTATTTACTAATTCTGAACATTAGAGCAACCACTAACAAGTTGACACTTCACTTTTTTAACTAAAAGTATTTTTTAAACACACAAAACACTTCCTGGTGTATGAAAAGGCAGTTTACAGTGAAAGAGCGGACCGTGAACGCAGCATGACTGGTATTTGAACACACCAATCCTGATACTGAACCAAAACTTTAACAAATCCCAAAATGGAGGAAAAAACAAGGAACTCTGCGACATAATAATAGAATATCTTCAACTTTAGATACAATAATGTACTTTGTTAGTCCATTTTGTTACCATTTAACTAAATGTTTTTACAGAAACTGCTGTTTTAGTAACTATTACAAGGGGCGGGTACATTAATGAGTRCACCGCGGTGTGTAAACTGTCAGATTAACACATTTAGAGATAAAATATTTAAAGAAAAATACATTTCTTTAAAGTGTAGCAGTCGGTATGTAATGGTTCTATCCCTGTTTCGTGCCGTGGCCTGAGATTAGTCAGAGCTCAGGCCTGGAGTCAGGAAAATGGCTTTACATGGCAGCAAGCTGTTCACCTACAGGCTCCTGATTAATCCAGGTTAGYTCCACAGAACTTTAAAGACTTCTCCTCAAACAGAACCACACGAAACTACAGCCTCCTCTCGGCTGCGGACCGAGTCGTTTTAAGAGACACAACTTCGACATGAATCATTTCTCACTCACCCGGCCGAACTTGTCGGTTCGCAGGGAAAACTTGCGCGTGAATAAATCTCACCACGGCGCCATGCAGACGGAACTTTTCAGTCCCCGTCGCGAGCCCGGACGTCCCGCCCGGTTCGAACCGTCTTTTCTCAGTCCGGGTGGGAGTTTTTAACAGTCGTCGGGTCCGGAGAAGGATCTTCTTTTCCTCGCTCGGTGTTATCATGGGCGGGGGAGAGAAGTCGAGACGAGCAGGGAGTTCCTGTCCCTCAAAACAGGGAAACTCAACAGGAAGCTGCGGTGCTGCTTTCCTCCGCTAGGAGGGCTGCCGAGAATAAAAAGAGCAGGAATGTACCGCGGGCTAACCTGCCCGCAGGTGTGTATGACGGGCGATCAGTGCCACGTCTTCACTGCACTTCATACAGCTAGTCCAGGGCTGGCAATCTTTATCATCAAAACTACAGAAACTGCATTCCCTGTGAAAATGACAGTGTGCATGCTTCATGCTGAAAACTTCAGCTGAAAGCTGCTGAAACTGAGCTGAAAATATTTAACAGGAAAAGTGTTAACACATAGTAAATCTGAAAGAAGCAAAAAACACCTAACTTTGCAGAAAAACAGAAAAAGGAGCACCAATCTAGTTGAAAACAGAAAACAGCTAAAAGCTAAGAGCTAAAATAACTGAATATAGCTGAAAACATCTGTAAGAAACATAAATAACACTAGGTAGCAGAAAAAGCAGAAGAATAGCAGAAAGAAGCCGATCTATAGCTAAAGTAAAAATAGCTAAAATTAACATAAATGGGCTAAAGGTTGCAGGTTAAGGTTGAAATTAGCACCCAGATAGAGAAAGTCTTATAAAAAATTGTAAAATTAGCAGAAAATGTATACAAACAAGTGATAATTTGTCATAAAATGGCTAAAACAGCTTAAATGTTCAGTAAAACAGCTAAAAAGTAGCTGGATTTTTTAATGAGCATAAGGAAGCATAAGAAGCGCAATGCTGGTGTAATAACTACAAAAAATGTGTATTTAGCTCAGAAAAGCTAACTTTAGCTAATAGCAGCTAAGCATTAGCTAAAATTTTAGCAAATAGCTGAATATAGCAGAAGGCATTTGTAAGAAGCATAAATAGTACAAATATCAGAAAAAAGCACAAAAAAGTAGAAAAAATCAGAATAGCAGAAATAAGCCGATCTATAGCTAAAGTTGCATAAAATAGCTAAAATTAGCATAAATGGGCTAAAGGTAGCAGGCAAAGGTTGAAATTAGCACCCAGATAGAGAAAGTCTTGTAAAAAAAAATTGTAAAACTAGCAGAAAAAAATGCATATAAGTACAAACAAGTGATAATTTGTCATAAAATGGCTAACAGCTTAAATATTCAGTAAAACAGCTAAAAAGTAGCTGGATTTTTTTAATGAGCATAAGGAAGCATAAGAAGAGCAATGCTGGTGTAATAACTACAAAAATGTGTATTTAGCTCAGAAAAGCTAACTTTAGCTAATAGCAGCAAAACATTAGCTAAAATTTTAGCAAATAGCTGAATATAGCAGAAGGCATCTGTAAGAAGCATAAATAGTACAAATATCAGAAAAAAGCACAAAAAAGTAGAAAATAGCAGAAATAAGCAGAATTTTTGCTGAAATAGCGGGAAAAATCTCAAATGAGCAAAAAAAGTAGCTAAAAGTAGCACAAGAATGTGAAAAAGAGCATAAGCAGAACAAAATGTGTAAGGTGCTGTAAAGATTTAGAAACATTTTTAAAAAATAAGGATGTTGAAAACAGCTCCATTCGTTTTCAATGGCAAAAATGTGGCTAAAAGGTGAAATAGCTGAAAAAGTGTATAAAGCTGAAACACCAAATGTCACGGCACCCCTCACGTGAATGAGCTGAATGTATTGATATATGAATTGTCGAAATAGCACAAAAATTGTGGAACGAGTTAGGTGTCGAATAATGTACAGAAGAAAACATGGTCACAATAGTGTGAATGCTGTGAAGCTTTCACACAATAAACATTTCTGCCTGTTCTCACCAAATTAAAAGCATTCAAACCAGTTTAACTCCATATCTAAATATGATCATCATCTGATGGCCTGCAGGCCACTTCCAGTACACTGGGTGAGATTTTCTGGCCATAAAGATAAAACATCTTCCTTAAATGTTATATAAATTTTAAACATAAAAACACTAAATTGTATAAAGCTTTTTTCTTTTAACATTATTTATGTAAAACAAATATTATTGAATAGAATATACTTTATTGTCATTGCAACAGTGTACAACAAAAATTGGGTTTGTTGTGAAAATGTATAACAGTACAAAAAGGTTATAAACAAAATATTAAAAGAAAACCTAGGTCGTCTGGACGGGTTCTTCTTTAATTAAACGTTTCATTAAAGAAGAACCCGTCCAGAGGACCTACTTATTTTTTCTTTTTGATTTTTCTTCCTGGATTACTGAGATGCATCAGAACGTATAAAATGAGAATGAGAGGTGTAGACACATTTAAGGGGGAGGTATTGTGCAAAATTAACTTTTTTGAGATTTGTCATATTCTCATTTAAAAACATTCCCAGAGTGTTGATTTTTGACTCATTCATGCATGTTTGAGAAATCTTTGYATTTCCTGTGCTAGCTCTTACTTCCTGAACACTTGCTGGTACAAAACACCACCTATTTGTACAAAGCTCCTCCTCAGAGCACCCCTCCCCCACACAGCTCCATCAGACCAGCAAAATGTATCTTAAAAATGGATGTTCATGATTTCATTGCTAAACATGGCTTCAAAATGATCTGTATTAATAGTTTCTTCACAAAAAGTAGCTTAACRCTGACATATGGAAGACATCTTAACAAGCTGGAAAACGTACTTTCCAGGTCTGCCGTGGGGTCATTTGAGTAAGGTTCAACTGTATCCTGAGTTGCCATTTTCCAAAACTGATATTATATAATGTTTCTTTTTTTTTTTACAACAAAATACAACACTCCTATGAAAGGTTGTAAACAGCATGAAGCATTGYTGTGAAGACATGCTGAAGTGGGAGTGTCAGAAACGGTAAGAGGTTTTTAAAGAGACAGAGGCCAATGCCAAGGCGTTTAGATAGACTGTGATGCAAAGTCAATTTTATTTATGATATATACAACTTTTTCAGACCTGAAAGTACTGTTTACTTGATTGTGGTATAGAATTGAAATATGTGCCTGGAAAATATACAATATCCCCTTTAAATGACAAGATTGTTGCACAAAAGTCAGAATTACAATTTTGTTGTAATGCTCTTATTACAGCTCGAGTTTGGTAAAATGATACAAACTGTTCAATACTCACTTTAATGAAATTAAAACTGATGTGAAAACATTAAGTATTCCACTTTGAAACAATAAAGCATAGTTAAAGTGAACACAAAAATTAGGCCATTGTGTTGGATACATTTTTGTCGTACCTTAACAAAAAACTTTATGTACTCCAAATTTAAAAGGTAGTCATTGCAAACTATGAAATCAGACATAAATGTTTATCCTGAACTGTATCAAACGGTGCTGTTTGAAAGAGTTTCATAGTTTTAAGATATACTGATGTACATTTTTTTAATGAATCAGCTGAAAACCTTGAGAGTGAGTGGGTGATTATGGTGGAATCAGACGAGCAGAAKCATGAATATACCGTAAAGTCAGTGGTGTCCAATACCGGTCCTCGAGGGCAACTTTCCTTAAASTTCAAGTGAATCTGCAACTGAATAAGAAGAGTAATCCCCATGTRATTATTTTTATTTAACTCAGAGTTTTCAGTATTAAAAGCCACCTATTGATATTTCTGATCAAACTGACCCACTTTCTTTTCTGCAGAACTTTGTTTTATGTGGTATGTTTGTGTTTTTCTGTTTCTCTTCTTAGCAACTTGCCTGAAATTATTTTATATTTATTATTAAATTTTTTTGTGTGTTTTCCATAGGATTTCAGAGAAACAGCCAAATGTTATGACTTGATGTTGGACTGATGCAGCAGATAACACCACCAGTGTGACCTGATTAGCATGTTTTGCTCTTTGTATTCAGTTTCGTTCACACATCTGCAAATCAAAGAGAAAACAGTTGAAACTAGCCTCGTCTGTGATTTAAATACTATTTCAGAAGTTTAGATCCTTTGTTTGGATTCATTAGGTATCACATGAACCATGCTGGGAAATAATAAATCAGTGCTGCAGTAAAATAAAGTCCAAACAGATACTGGATTAAAAGTAGATATTTATAACACAAGACAAACAAAGCAGCACATTTCATTTTCTGTTAGGAAAACACAACAATTCACATCTTAAGTTTAAAAATAAAGTTCAAACATACTTATTAATCCAAGTTCTTCCTCTTTAATAATCTTTTGTTAAAAATTATATAACCACCCACGTGTTACTCTTATATAGAAACCTTTCCATGAATGATTTTTTGTTTATGTACCTCAAGTTATGAGTTTTTTATTGTTTGTGATAATTAGGTTTTTGTATCATCTTTTAAATGTACTTTTAAAGCTGCAGCAGGTAGCTTTTATTAAAAAATGTATTTTTGTATAAATGTCCTGACAAAATATGAGACACACACTGTGGAAAGATAATGTTCCTTTTGTTTTTATGTGCAAATAAATCAAGAGTGTTACTGTGCACACTTTAATTTGTTCAATCTAATTGTACAGTATGTACATTATTAACACAGAATAATAAAAAATAATGTACAAAACCATTTTAAATACATTAGCAGACATATATTCACAATGTTGCTTCCATCTTCATTGATTTGAACTGAAGGTCACAAATGTTCTTCATCATCATCATCATCAGATGATGCTTGATGAGAGAGAAAAAACCCTGAAATGTTTGGTTCCTCAGCACTGCTCAAATCCTGCCATCAGAGAGAGCGCCAGAGACTCCACTGAAGAGAAAAATAAAACAAAGGTTAATAAATATCTGTTTACGTACAGATGTTTATGAAGAGCTTTCCTAAAATCATCAGGTAAGATATTTACTCACAGTGAGGAAACGAGCCTCGACACACTGCCTTGTTGAGGATCGTCACCAGGAACATGTGACAGTTTTTAAAATCTGACTCCATTTTATCGATGGACTCCAGCCTGAGAGAAAAATGTTTTGTTTTTTTTTTGTAAAAAGAAAGTCATCTCAGCTGGTTTGTAATGATTACTTAAATGTCTGACATCAGTGGAAGTGAAGAGCTCTTACTTCCAGGCACCAAACCCAGCCTGCCATCGCTCTGAGAAGATGAGGACCAGATTCAGAACCTTGACTATGGCCTCCTTTACGAAGCTGACCTGTGGAAAMAGCAGTCTGTCAGACAACAGCTCCTCAGGCCAACTTCAAAACAACAGGCTGGTTAACTTGATTTACTTTTAATTATATTTCAGAAAAATCTCCATCCAAACATTGACTTTAAAACTGATTCAGACAAAACAGTAATGTATTATCGTAACCAACAATTCAAATTAAGTCATATCTCTGGATGAGCTTATGATATCAGGATGATCCAGGTATCAAAATGTAGCTTTTAAAGCCAGGAATATGGACATATAATTAGGTCATTTTGACCAAATTTGACTTAATACTCATTTCAATATGATGGGTCACATATTTACCAGTATTTACTCTCAGAGAGGGGAAATATATTTATTGCAGAGATTACTAGCTGGTAGTAAAACAGCTAAAACCAAACAGTGGCTCAATAAAAAAAAACCCATCAGTTAATGAATGAAAACAATTTGGGAAACTCGTAGAATGAAACAAAACATTTTATTAAGATACGCCACCAAAAACGGAGAGGAATACTGGAAAAACAGCATTAATAATAATACTAACGATAATAATAGCCTGAAATGAGGTTAAATCGTCTTGTTTGTTTTTTTTTCCATTTCTTCTTTCCTGGACTCAACTGGCTATTAAKGACCTTTGATTTGACTTGTATCTGTTCACAGAGCACTGTGCAGCCATGTAGGCTCAACCCTACATACTGGAAAATCTCCTGACTGTTASGATTTATTAAAATAAGCTTTAAAAACAGTGCATAATACATATGGGGACCAACGCACCACTATAACAAACATACTCAACCCAAACATTATTATAAAGTCTCTTCTTGTGGCATTTAAGGGTTAAATAGGTAGTAAATATGGTTTATGAGGGAGTCCTTGGATGTTTTTCTCTCCAAATTCAAAAACTCCTGCGTTATTGTAACAATGAATTAACTGGTGTTCTCCACATACGGGAGCAGCCAGTCAGAACCTCAGGTCAGGTCAGAGGGTGAAAAGAGTTTGACTGAACATTACAGCATTGTGTTCTTACTGTGTGATGAGAAGTAAAATGTATTTTTATAGTTTGGAGCTTTGCTCCTGCAGACATTCATCCTTTCACCTCCGCTCGGCTCGTTTACCTTCTCCCTCAACAGGCAGCGGTCGTGGATCGTCGCCAAATATCTGTAGTGGATCTTGATCAGCTGATCCAGGTCTTTGGCTTCCTGAACCTGGTGCTGAAACTCCAGTCCTGTACTGTGCAGAATCTGTCAAGACACGAGGAGGACGCAGTTTAGACAGCAAACATAGGACCGCCAACCAAGAAAGGTGGTGGTCTCAACACATTTCCTTACGCTTTGAAAACCAACGTAGAAGTGAAAATTCTTCTGATGAAACTTACTGTTCAACTCAGTGACAGCACACAGAAACACATATAACAAATATTTGACTCAACACTGAAGCTCAGAAATGCTGACATGAAACAAGATTTGCAAGAGACATCATGAAGCCCAAGGAATTCTCCACACAGGTCAGAAACAAAGCTGAGGTGAAAAACAGATGAGGGGTATTTTATAAAAAAAAAAAAGAATCCCAAACTTTCAACCCTGAAAACAGACCATTCAGGATCTCTCTGTCCAACAAGGACAGATGTTTGGAACAAACCCAACTCCTCTCATCGTCCTGACAGCAGCAGCTGTACAGTGATGCTGCGTTCACACCGAACGCGATTTCAGCTTCAAAAGAGCATCCAACGCTTCAAGTTGGTCGCTTGTGCACTTTG